CTGTGTGCGCGTGTACAGGCCTGTCGGTGTTTGGTGCGGTGCAGACGTCGGCTGCGTGCCGTGCGTGTAAACAGGCGTAGTGTTGTTGGGGGCGTGCAGACGTCGCGGCTTGTGGTGTGCGCCGTGTAAACAGCGTGTGTCTTTGTGGTGTAGGACGTCGGTGTGTTGCGCGGCTGCTAACCACGTGTGTTGTTGGTGCGTGTAGGACGTCGTGTGATGTCGTGCGCGTTGTCAACAGCCGTGTGTTTTGGTGCGTCGTAGGGACGTCGGTGTGTGCTGCGCTGATGTACAGGGCCCCCGTGTGTTTTGGCGTGTAGACGTCGGACGCCTCCGCTGTGGGGCCGTCCGTGTGTGCCGCGTTGTCGTGCGCGCTGTAACAGCGTGTGTTTTGTGCGTGGTAGACGTTCGTTTCTGTGCTCGTGTAACAGCCGGGGTGTTTTGTGCGTGTTAGACTCTCTGTTTCAGTGCGCGTGTTAACACGCAGTGCTGTCGTTTGTGCGTGTAGACGTCGGGCGGTTCGCTGTGCGCCGGTGGTAACAGCGTGATGTTTTGCCCTGCGGCTCAGACGTCGGTGGTCATGTAGCGCGTGTAACAGCGTGCGCCTGTGTTTTGTTGCGTGTAACGTCTGTCTTAGTGCGCGCTGTAACAGCGTTGTGTTTTGTGCCGCTAGTAGACGTCGGTGTGTGCTGCGTGTAACAAGCGTGTGTTTTTTGGCGTGTAGAGCTCAGTTGTGTGCGCGTGTAACAGCGTGCTGTTTTGTGCGCTAACGGTTGTAGACGTCGCGTGTGTGGCGCTGCTTGTAACAGCGCCTGCTGTTGGTGTGCCGTGCAGTACGTCGGCGTGGTCTGCTGTGCGTGCGTTAACAGCGTCGTGTTTGGTGTGCGCTGTAGACGTCAGGTGTTGTGTGCGCGGTCTGTAACAGTGCGTGTTTTGTGGTGTACGACGTGTTGTGTGGCGGATTTGCTAACAGGCGGCTCGATGTTTTGTGGCGTGTAGGAGTCGGGTTGTTGTGTGCGTGTAACAGCGGTAGTGTTTTGTGCGTGTAGGACGTCGCGTTGGTGTGCGCGTGTAACAGCCGGTGTGCTGTTTGGTGCGTGTAGACCTGTCGGTGGTGCGCGGTGTCAACAGCCGTGGTGTTTTGTGCGTGCAGACGTCGGTGCGCAACGCAGCCGAGCCACTGACTGTAACCTCGCAATCGCACAATCCTGCATGACGCTGGCAGACTGCCGGCGACCTTCCGGCGAGCGCAGATCAACGCCGAGCTGGCCAAGATCTGGGCTGCCCCGCCAGGCGCAAAAGGATTGCGCGCAAGTAGGAAGCGCCCGCTCCTAGTCCCTGCCTCTAAACCAGCCTTGTCACCTGTGTTGTGTGGCCTGGGTGCTGTGTGCCGTCGCGTGCCGTGCGAACGACCCGTGTCGGTGGATGCGTACGTGTGTGTGGTGTGTGCGTGCATGAGTATATGCGGTGCGGTGCGCTGGTGTGAAGTATGTTGCAAGGTTTATGTGTCTTGACCTGTGCATGCTGCGTATGACATGCTCCTCAGTAAGGATTACGAATACGTTATATGTAACATTTACGCCTGTGTACGATGGGTTAGACTGAGTTATTGGAGGCTGACCTTCTCTTAGAATGTCCCATGCGTCAGATCGTTAAGCCTACTTTTGTCTTCCTGCAGAGATGCGTCAACCTGGCCAAGCAGCCTATAGTCGCTCTCCTCCTCAACGCCTTCCTGCAGCTAAGTTTGCTTTCCGCCGGCTATGCAGGAGAGGGCCCCAAAGTGCGCTTTGGCAGAAGGTTGCGTTACAGAATAACACTTCACATGCTCTTTAAATGACAAGCAGTTTATCTTTGCCTTGAGTTCGATTGCAATCCTTCGCCCCATTCTCTCTCTCTCTTTTCTTTTTCTCTCTCTCTCTCTCTTTCTGCGTCTCTCTCTCTCTCTCTCTCTCTTACTGTCTTTCTCCATCTATGCTCACTCTCTCTCTTGCTCTCTCACTCTCTCTCTTCTCTCGCACACCTCGGTCTTCCGCTCTCTCTCTCTCTCGTCACTCATCTCTTTCTCTCCAGTGTCTCTCTCGTCTCTCTCTCTCTACGCTAACTCAGCTCCGGCTGACCTGCTCGCCTCCTCTCTCTCACCCTGCCGGATTTCCTTTCGATTATAGTGAAACATAAATAGTTCGCTCCTGCGAAAAATAGATGCCAATAAGAATACAATACAAACGTAAAATATACATGAACGCAGCCAAGACGTCAATAACTGTTTTTCTCAGCCGCGACAAATTAAAACTGCGCCTTACGCAGGGCGCACGGGAAGAGGCCATGCATGACGCTGTAAGCAAGACTCTCAGCCGCCGATGCCAATAGCAAACCCTTCCCTGTCGACGTGACAGTAGGCTTTTTTCCACGCGAAGATTGCTGCTGCTGCAAGCTGTGAGGCCGCCCGGCGCTGGGCCTCACGCATTCTCCGTCACAAGGACGAGAACTATAACTTTCATTCTGCTATTTAAACATGTAACATCGCCAAAAAAACACGAAACGTCTGCACGAACCCAAAAAATTATTTCATTCAAGTTGGGTATTAGTATTCTTGAGCGTGTGTTCGGGACGAAGCTCTCTCAATAAAGCGCATCTGGTGTCTGGAGTTATCCTCTCTCTTCTCCTCTCTCTATGTTTGAGTTCTCCTTCTGTGTTCGCTTCCTCTGTGCAGCGCCGCTACAGGCGAGGAGCAGGGGCTTCCTCTGCTGTGCATCTGTGCTTCTGTGTCGTCTTGCCGTCTATGTTTGCCTTCCTTCTAGGTTTTGTTTCGGTTCTATGTTTGTTTCTTTTTTACATACTTCGTTTCTGGTGCGCAGGCTGCTAGAGTGAAGCAGCAGCGCTTTCTCTGTCGGCAGCTTCCTTCATACAGTGTCGTCTCTTCCTGTCGGGTATGGTTCATCTTCTTCTATGTTGTCTTCCTTCTATGTTTGGTTTCTTTCTTACATCTTCTGTCCTGTGCCGCAGGCCGCCTACAGGCTGAAGAAGCCAGTCTTTCTCCTGTGGCCAGCTTCCTTTCATGGGTCGTACTTCCGTTCTAATGTCATCTTCCCTTCTCTGTTGTCGTCTCTCCTTCGACGTTCCCTGTTCTCTTTCTACAATCTTCTGCCTGCTGGCGCAGGCCCACCTACAGGCAAACGCAAGCAGGCTTCTTCTGTGTCATCTTGCTTTCTGTGCTGTCTCCTTCTATTGTTTGCTTCCTTCCCACTATGTGTCCTCCGTCTTCCCTTCCTATGGTTTGCTTTGTTCTACATCGTCCTATCCTTGGTGCGCCAGCCACGCTAACAGGGAAGAGCAGGCTTCCTCTGTGTTAGATCTTGCTTCCTTGTGTCGTCTGTCCTTCTATGGTTTGCTTCCTTCTGTGTCGTCTTTCTTCTAGTGTTTGCTCTTCCTTTTATTTGTTTCCTTCTATGTTTGGTTTATGTTCCTACACTCTTCTTTCCTCGTGCGCCAGGACTTGCTACCCCAGTTGCAAGCGCAGGCCTTCCTCTGTGGCATTTGCTTACGTATGTCATCTTTTTTTCGATGTTTGGTCTCCCTTCTATGTTTGTTCTTTCGTTACATCTTTTTACCTGTGCGCAAGACTTGCTTACGCAGTGAACGAGCCAGCGTTCCTCTGTGCATCTTGCTTCTGTGTTGTCTCTCCTCCAGTGTCAATCTTTGGCCTCGGCTTCTATATTTGCTTCCTTCGTCACTGTTTTGCTTCCTTCTAATCTCCCTCTTCCTCGTTGCCGCAGGCCGCTAACAGCGAGCGAGCGTCGAGCCCAGCATTGGAGAGCAAACCAGCGTATTCTCATATGGAAGCTCTACCAAGATCCGCGCTGGTGGCAGATGAGCCCGACTGGTGAGGGACGGACACTTACTGCCTCGCGCACTACTACGACCTTGTTGCTGCCATCGCCCAGCTCGAGCTCGCACGACCGCAAGGGCTGTGAGTGACCCCGTGGTGGAATGCCCCCCCCCCGGTGAAGGAATGTCCCCCCCCCATGGCGATAAGCATACCTGTCTTGGTCGTGAGAGATGTCCTCATGCCGATGTACTTCTTGGAATGGACGGCCCCCCATGACGGAACTGTCCACCTGGCTGACGAACTCCCCCCCCCGCTGCCATGGAATGTTTGCCCCGTGGCGGAACACCCTCGCTCCGTGTTGACGTGACAGATTCCCCCCGTGTATACCAAGTGTTTCCCCTGCCCCTTAGGTGTGACGCTTTTACATTAGCAAGACGTCCTACGGAAGTCGTATGTGAATGTACGGTTGTTCCCAAGACTTTTATGTGACGATACCAATCAACGAACAATTTACTTTTTCCATCTCTCTCCGCGCGCTTTTCGCTGGCTACACTCTCGTCAGATTTTCTCTCTCTCGTCCCGTGCAACTCGCCCAAAACAAGTATATCTTACCCCCCCGGTAAAAACTCCTGCTAGCCTGCACGCCGAACACTTCCCGACTCGTTTATTGCAGCTCGTTACTTGGTGAGAGCCACGCTACCAAATTCTGAGAGATTTTTCGCTACTTGTCAATGCACTAGTAAAGGCCCACGCCCGCTCGCTATAGCTCAGGTCCGCAGAGGTCTTGTATTGCTACTCTCTTATTTGGAGCGTTTTTTCATGAGCTCTACTGCCGACATGCCACACTCTCGTATATACGTGTCGCATCATGCGCTCGCACAGTCCGATGCGCGGATGCTCAGTCGCTCTGGTGGACTTGTGGCGCCGACGGATTGCCGAGCAACAGCAGGAAGAAGCAGGAGAGCAGGCCGACGCAGAACAACCGCAGCACCTGCTGACCTCCATCAAACAAGGTGTCGCTGCATAACTCGTAGATACGTTCACTGCACAGGCTACGTGTGCATCAACAGTGTGCATTGCGTATATGTCGCAGCACCCCATTACAATATGTCAGCAGTTGTGCCTGGCTGCTATGCTCACGTTAACACCTCGCTCGCTCGTCACAACGATATGATCACTAGTTCACCTAACGATATGTCACAGCCACTAACCAGATACTGTCACAGAACGCTGTACTTACGATATGCTCACAGTTTCACCTAACGATATGTCAACCAGCATACTGACGATATGTCAAATGTGTGCTCTACTCGACTATGTCGACAGTTTCACCTACGATATGTCACAGGCGCCATACGGACTGACTAATGTCTCAAAGTGTACTTACTGATATGTCAACATTTCACCTGACGACTTACACTGTCTCACAGCTTATACTTCACGAGTATGTCAAAGTGCGTGCTTACCGATTATGTCACAGGTTCAGCCTACGATCATGTCACAACATATTACGACGGATCGTCAAAGTGTCGCTCTACGATATGGTCACCAGTTCACCTACGATATGTCACAGCAGACTTGTACGCACTATGAGTGACAGTCTAGCCGTCTGTTTAGGCCTGGATAAGGTCGCCCTTCTCAGCATTACCTATCACTCTCCTTTCATTCCATATTGTTGTTTCCTTACGGGTTCATACAGCTCTCGGTGGGCCCTTACCGATTAGTGTCACTCACGCTTCACCATTACGATATGTCACGCACAACGATTATTTGGTCAGCAAAGTGTACTTCCACTCGAGTATGTTTCACAGTGTTCCCTACGACTATGTCACGACATACTTACGAGTTATTTTGTCAAAAGGTTGGCTTACGATTATGTCCACAGGTTCCACTTCAACGACAGATCGTCACAGCCATACTTTACCTGACTTATGTCAACAGTTGGTGCCATTACGCACTATTGTCACCAGCTTCCGCTACGTTCATGTCACAGTGGTCATTACTTACGCATATGATACAAAGTGTGCCATACCGATATTGTCACAGCTTCACCCTGCTACGATATGTCACAGCATACTTACGATATGTCAAAGTGTGCTTATGATATGTCACAGCATACTTACGATATGTCAAAGTGTGCTTACGATATGTCACAGTTCACCTACGATTTGTCACAGCACAACGATATGTCACAAAGTGTACTTACGATATGTCACAGTTCACCTACGATATGCCACAGCATATTTACGATATGTCAAAATGTGCTTACGATATGTCACAGTTTACCTACGATATGTCACAGCATACTTACGATATGTCAAAGTGTGCTTACGATATGTCACAGTTCACCTACGATATGTCACAGCATACTTACGATATGTCACAGTTCACCTACGATATGTCACAGCATACTTACGATATGTCACAGTTCACTTACAATATGTCACAGCATACTTACGATATGTCGCAGTTCACCTACGATATGTAACAGCACACCTACCATGTAGCATATCATCGTTACTAATTTCTGCCAATGAAGCTGCTCTTTTGTTGTTGCGCGCCTGTTGTTGTTGTTTGTTAGTCGCAGTGCAGGCTGACGACAACGCCACCTGTCGTTGACGCTGCTCTTTTGTCGTCGGCGCGCGTCGGGTGTTGCAGGTGGTGCAGGGTCTGCAGGACAAGCTGCCGGCGTATCAGTTCCTCACGGCCTTCTCACAGCTCATCTCACGCATCTGCCACGCCCATGCCGACGTCGTCAAGGTGCTGCAGGTGAGCGTGGCCGCCAGGTGGCTCTGCTGTTCGATCCCTCCCCCCCGTGCTGTTTGTTTGGCAACGTTGGCATGTGTCGCTCCATATTAGACGTTGGATGTAGAAGTGTTTGGTATCTATCCGTGTCTATATCTAAGTTTGTTATGTATCTATATTGATGTGTATAGTTTTCTGTCTACGTCTGTGTGACTGTGCGTCTTAACAGGCATCTATCTAGTTGTATGTGACTGCCTGTAGAGACGTCTGTGTCTCTATGTGTGTGTCCTTGCATGCGTGCATGTGTGTGTGGCACTGTGTGCGCGTGAGTACATGCATGCACTCTTTCTCTCTCTCTCTCTCTCATGCTCTCTCATCTCTTCTATCTCTATCTAAATCTTTCTCTATCTATCCTACTCTAATCTCTATCTCTCTTATTTCTCTCTCTATTCTCGATCTATCTATCTCTCTCTGTCTCATCTCTATATCTATCTCTCTCTGTCTCTTC